GGGGGGGAGGGGGTTAAGTTTTGGACAAACTTCTAAAGAGTGTTTAAAAATGGAGAGTGGGGGTGAATGAGAGAGGTAAGGGGGAATGGATAAACTCATAACCATACCTGTATACAATTATAATACCTTCCCACACCTGGTTATGCATATGAACAGCACAGGAGGAAAACGAGCATAGTCACAAACTGAAAATCGTGAGGATATCAATTTTGAACGCTTCTTGACTCATAACTGTATTTCTATTCAACTGTTGATTGATTATTATTGTTAGATTCCCCATTCAACAAATTTAACATTAAACCACCATTCGAACAAATAAGAACTTGATTATATGAGTCCACAAGCTTTTACAATTGACACCCTCACCTTTTTCAATTTGTGACTGTGTCCGTTTTTCCACTGCTCTCTTCATATTCTTCAGCAATTCGTGTGTCGACCCTACTTAATGAAAAAGGTCTACAGACAGCATAGCCAGTGGTGTAGTCTGTGATATTCATGACGACATTGTAAAGACCCAGAAATATCTGTGCTTCCTACACCTTTAACACACATCTCATGTTTGCAGTGCTGACTCGAAGCTGGAGGTAATATGCAAAGGATATTGTGGAATTAGAATCATAACCCGTAGGCGGGAAGAAATCTTGTGGAGCTGCTTTTTTCTCATTTCTGTGTTTCTATTCTAATACGCTTTGTTTACTCCGTATGTGATCTACACTGTTCTGGGAAGGTACTAAAATCAAGCAAGATTACTGATAGGTAAAGTCTTTTTTTTGTTTTGGTAAGTGTTTTATGGCGCTCGCAAGTGCATAAGGTCATATGAGCGCGCGGGGCACATTAACTTTTCCACTTTGGTAGGAAATTTTGAATTTTGCCCGGTTTGCGGCCGAAGCCTACCAACTCTTATCGATTTAAGACTACCAAGGGTTCTTTAAAGTGCGCAACTTGCACACGGGACCTCCGAGATTTTTCGCCCTTGTCCGTGGTAAACTATGATGAAGTTTGAATTTGGTAGAAGTAGTATTTCGATTTCTGGTCTATGCCTCTAGAC